TACGTTCTTGTTTTAATAGATCAAAATGCAACAAATATACCTAATTAGAAATTATTGTGAGAGGCTCCCTTGTGGGACGCCTATGTACAATTACGGCGGAAAAAACAATACCTGCCTGTGAAAAGACAAATTCAGGTTATTTGAGCATATTTTTCCACACACTTGACACTGTCCTACCATAATGAAAATTCGCAGATTCAAAAGTACGTTAAACAAAAATAAAAACAACTGAAAAACACTGAAGTTCACTTCGGACTTGATTCCGACTTCAAACACATCGTAAGCTAAACGTAGTACGCTATAACGGACCAAGGGCCGTCGCGAGGGGTGGTGGGACGGACGGCTCATTTCATTCTGGAAGACTAGCAGCGACGTTGCCAATAGTTCTAGACATTTCAGCCCATTAATAAACTGTCCTTTAATAGTAACACATATAATATATCCTCTGGTTAATAACCATATTATTACGCATGCTTCTTTAAAAATAAACTATTAATTTAATTAAGAAATTGAGATTTATTGATATCCGGTAAAGGTTTTAAAGTCACCTTTTCTGCAAATCAAACTAAGTAGATAGGCGCAAATTTGATATGTGGCAATGTCGCCTTCTCCATCTCAGTTGGTTTTTACAGTACGTCGTCAACCTCCGATTGTTTGATCGGGTTAAAATGCAAAATGTTATATCTGTTCTTACTAAATCTATGGAGAAAACAGTATGATTCATTGGCAAGCGATGTAAATATTTGTGATCAGGTAAAATTGTGATGTAAGAGGAGGCTTAGCTCGGAGGCGGCAGGTCAGTCAGTTGTTGATAGGCCGGCCGGCTGTGTAGTGTTGTGTTTTGTCAGAGAGCTGACAAATGGAGGTTGCGAGTCTTTTGACTAATATAGTTGCAAGTCGTTTGACTGTAAGCCAACGGGGTCGTTTGACCACGGTAAGAAAACCTCTGTGACGTCCTGCCTTCGAGTTGGTCTTGAGAGTTTGAGGTCTCTATAATGTCTTCTCGATTGACGATGCGGCGTTGGGATGGTGAGCCACCCAAATAGCTTATTCGATTGGGATGCGAATCTGTTTAGCGGCAGAATTGCGTCCGGGGGAAGCCCCTATACTATTTCAGATGACACTAGCTAGTTGTTGAAGTTTATTAACCAATAGATCCGAATAATATTTGAATTAGATGGAAGATATGGAATGTGATATATTGAATAGAATATCAGTGATGTCAGTGACTAGGGGGCGGAGTACCCCCGGGAGAGTCTTACTATTTAACTATCAATTTTATCCAGATCAGTAAATGTTTGTTTTGTTATTTTCATGTACAATGAGAGAGTGCTTGCCAATGACCAACTAAATGGATATTTGAGGTGAATTTGCATTGTGAGACCCGGTTGAGTAAGCCCCAAAAATACCGATTTTACAAATAAGACTGACATTATTTGTATAATGTTTTGTATTATCTTTTGTTTGTTTGTTTGTGTTCCTTGTTTTTTTACTTTGTTTGTTAGTTTACCTTTGTCTAAAAATTGAAAAATTTTTTGACAATAAAGGCATTTATTTATTTATTTATTTATATGATCTACCTCGGGGTCTCTTGGGGTAAGATACTTGTGGTAAATTAAACTTGGTATAATACCGTTTAAAAATTATAAAATACAGAAGCGGAGATCTGCGGAGTTCTAAAGATACGCAATTTCAAAGTTTAATTTTTTTCAAAAGAACGCTCTGCTGTGTTTGTGGTAACTACTAGCTTCAAAAAAAAATATTTAAGTTAATAAAATTCTCTTAAAAAGTACTTACCTTGGTCTTCAAAATCCATTATAATTTAATTATATTTTTAAAAAAAAAAAATAATTATTAAAAAAAAAAATAATGGTTGATAACCCATATGCACCGTATAACCCATATAAACGCATTAAAATATATAGCACTTGTGGTAATTTTTATTTCCAAAATTTCATTTAAATCACTGAAAGCACACATCACAGGAAGAAAATTATTGTAAATTGCTCAATAAGTTCAATAAGAGCTACCTAAATTGGTATTTACCCGGTATAGCCTAATATGCAGTTAAAATAGTTATTGTACATTAAATCAAATTAAAACTTGGCACAAAAAGTTATACAGGGTGAGACCAAATTAATATTGAACATTGATCACCTATAAAAGCAAGTTCCCTCTCTCTTTATTATTTTATAAAATCTAGGTGGCTGTAATATGTCTGACGTTACTTCAACATAGCTATCTAATTAGTCCAACTTAAAAATGAAGAAAATGGAAACTTATTAGAGAGAATTGATATGATTCTATTGGTTAATGCAGTGTGCATGCATCAATTAATAGAATACTTAAATGCTTCTGATTTATCTAGTCAGAGCTTTTTATGGGGATATGTTAAAGACAGTGTTTACAAAACTCGACCAACTATTGTTGATAACATGAGAAAAATATTGTAGCTGCTTTTCGAAGTAGAACTCCACATATGCCTTATAAAATGAAACGATCTTTCGAAAATAGAATCATTTTATACAGTGAACAGGAAAGGAAGCATTTTGACCTTTGATTTCATCTAGCTAATTTTTGTCACATAATTATACGTTTTTATATCTAGTTTTAATTCTGTAATAATTAAAATATATTTTAAACGTGTATTATTTTATTAGATACCGTTGAGTATTTTACTCTACATCATTTAATTTTTGTTATAATATAAATAAAAATATATCGTAATAATATACTTAATATAGGCTATTATTTTGGTATTGTATCAATTAGTTGATTGTTCGATAGATATCCGTAATCGACATAAAATATATCTCAAGAGACATTCTATGCAACATTTCACAATATTATGTACCTACTGGTTTAAAATGATGCCATTATTCGACTACAAAAACAAAATTATATTTAATCATTGTTTGTATAGATATAAGTAGCATTATTATAAATGTGTTATTATAATGATATTTGTGTGGGCTTTAAAAATGCAAAAAAATATTGTGAATCTACATATGGGGGAAATTAAAATAACTTTGGTTGCACATCATAATATGACCACCAACAAACTCCATAAGACGACGCATGTTGTAATTGATGACGTGCAGCGAAAGTTCTTTTAATTTCCCTTGAGCTACTGAAGTAACGACTTGCTCTAGAAAGTTGCTTTTTTACTAAAAGATAGCTAATTGCCTCTTCTAAAAACTGTCGTCGCCGGATTTTCTGTTTTTTATTTAATTTAAAAAAATAAAAATATGTTTTTTCCTGATTAGTGTTGCACAAGACAAGAATTCTTGTCTTGAAAATCAATTTCTTGCCTTGTCTTGAAATTTAAGACAAGAACTTTTCAAAGTTTTGCCTGGCAGATTTCTTGAATGGCAAAGTCTTGTCTTGTCTTGCAAGACTCTTGAAATTTTTGTCTTGAAAAATTTTACATTCTAGCAAAAAGTTTATAATATTTCTATATTTTATTTCATAGAAAGCGTCGTATACAAAATTTAATACGGAAAAATTAAAAACAACGATGCTAGTTTTAGCAAAAAAAATCTTAACGGACCGCAAACGAACTACGTCAACTTGCCCGTTTGACGAAACAGGGGCCATTACCAAATAAAAGCTGAATAAGAATAAGTAAGTTTAAGTTCGATTTATGGGTTTTGGGGTATTATTTCGTACCTAACCTTGTGCGTTAAGTTATTTAAGTATTACTCACTACCAAAAAAGTTTTAATATGAAATATGAGCAGTATATAATATAAGTGTCGATAGTGAAACCGAGTCCGAACCCTTCCAAGAGAATGGGAGTGAATTCGCGGTTAGTAATAGTGAGCAAACAAACACTGACAATGAATGTGAGGATTTAAGTTTGGACACAGGGTGTACGGAAAGGTCATGCTAGAGTGTACTATTTAGGCTATTTGATACTACTTTTCGTTCGCGGAGCAATTTCGTGCATGAAAAGTAGTACCATATAGCGCAAATAGCGTGCTCCACGTTCCACGAACCCACAATTAGTTTCAAATAGTTAGTTTTTTTATAATACCATTATACCAATATAATTTTGTGTATAATACCAATTACCAATATACGGTTTATTGCCTCGACTTTATTTTATTTCATTCTCAACTCTAAAACACTGGCTATGATAGAAAAAAAAATGAACACTGGTCAATATTAATGCCGGATTTATACAACATTTGCATAAGTCGTAATCATAATTACAGACTGAATCATCGTCATAATCACAACGCAATTTTAATGTGCGTTTATAGAAGATTTTCATAATCATAACTTTTATATCAGAGAAGTTGGGTAACATTATTAAGGCTAAGGCTTCAACAGGTTTATAAGAAGTGGATAGTTTAACTTTTATGATTATGACTATGATTATGATTACGACTATGTAAATGTTGTATAAACCGGACATAACTTGCGCAAAGACCTAATTATCACTTAAAAAAATGTATCATTTCTAACTTTCAAGAAATCTTGCAAGAGTCTTGAAATTTCTTGCATATTAAAGTCTAAAAAAAATAAATAAATAAAAAATTAAGATTTCCGATCTAGTTCCAGAGATGATTCGATCCCCAGAAAATTGGAATAGTGTTCACACTTTTATGGAGACACTAATAGATGCAAAAGAGAAAGAAGCTAGACGAAGTAACTAAAACATTGCAGTAAAACCGCCTCCTCGAGAAGTAATGCCGAAAGGCAGTTCCTCGGGGAGATATTCAAAGCGGTTTGTGGAGGTTTTTTAGTCGGTAAGGTACCTCAACCACCCCGACAGTACCACATACGGTCTCTGGTTTGCATATTTTTCTCCACAAAAAAAAAGAGGTTTAGATACAAATTTAGTCAAAAAATTAATCATAATTTTTTAATTGTTTTGACGCTAGTGATAACAGCCTTTTTTTTATTTCTTAAATTTAGTGCCAACCAAACAAGAATAACTATTTCAATCATCTATATTTTGTTTTCAGGCAAAATCACTGTTATTAAAACAGGTCATTTTGTATTAATAATTTATTATAAAAATATTATACATAAATTAACAGTCTATTGCCTCTTTTTCTTTGAACTCTCTTTCAGTTGTTTTTTAGCTCGGTTACATTTTCTGTATTTGCACAATTTGCCTAGCACATAAATTGAGAGAACGAAGCCACCACCAAACACTGCGACCACGTCCAAGAACCAATACTTGTAAAAAGGTAAACGAATGCCCGCCACTCTTAAATGTGGCGCTCCTCCATATTTCACGACATATTTTATCCAATAATCTGCCAATTCTATAGGTTTTACCGGCCGATCTTTGAGAAGTTGTGATCTGAGTTTCGCATTTTTCTTATACCTATAAAAGAAGAATGAATAATAATATACATTTTTTTTGAATTTATAATTTAATTTGGAGAAAACCTATTTCATTAATAAGCCAGTCAAATAAGATCTATTATAGAGTTCACTTGGAAAAATGTGTTGGAAAGCTAATTATGATTTTGATTTGTTCAGTTGACATGAAAGATAATTATCCTATTTTTGCACGGTTGTTCGACCGCCGCGTCGTTCGACTCAGAAGGACCAAAAGATGGTAAAATCCTTGGACTTTTTTTCAGATTTTTGCCTATAGTTTCGAAACGTTGCGTTCTAGTCCATTAATAATTAAAGACCATTAAATTCTGCATATAATGAGTATTAATTCGTTCAATTCGGTCCAGTAGTATGACAGAAATTTAATGAACAATGTTGATATTTACCAATTTTGCTGATAAACGCATTAAAGTGACATTCGTCACACGGAAATTACCATTCTAAATAATAAATCATACAATGAAAGTTGCAGAGCATCAAATTAGCATTTTACATCAAATAATACATGCTGAGGAAATGAAAATGTTTGTGCCCAACTCTCCATGAAATTACTTAAGAAGTGGTATTCTGAATTAAACTAATACACATGTACCACATTTAATTAACATTAAAATGACCAAAAAACTAAATTTTGCTAATATTACATAATATATCCGAGGTATTCTTCTAAAGCCACAGTCACGATAATGTATATATCTTGTCAGTAAGTTTTAACATTGAAAATGTTTCTGTTATCCTATATAAGGGAGCCCAAATCGAATTAAAATGCTACATTTGCCACACCATGACGTCATATATACAAGGGTATAGGAAATCTCGGCGCAGCGGCGGCAGTCGGCCAGCGCGCGCAAAAACCATTACATCGCTAATTATTTATTGATATATCTTTATTAGTTTAAAAGCAAAAAATATGGGGTTTGCTTTGATACCTTGTCAAGGCATAAGCGAAACTTTTAAATTGTTTCTTTTTTTCATTTAGGCCTTCGTTTTTCGTTAAATGAAAGTTATATTAAAAAAAGTCTATTTTTAAACCAAATTTTCGCATGATTGAAATGAGTTATTCATGTTTAAATTTTTTTTTGGTCATAAGCGCCAATGGAAATGTTTTTTTTGTAAATAATTATAAAAAATTAGTCCCTACGAATACTTTATTGTGTACTGGATCAACAAAAAGTATTTGTTTTCTCTATACGGTGGTATTAATATATCGATTTTTGATAATAGTGCCCTTTTACCCAGTCTAATTTTGTACTACTTTCGGAATAAGGGTCCCCATATCATGTACTGTACTTCCATCCCTGAAAAATTCAGCTTGTGACACCGAAGTGAGACGTAAAGTCAAAATAAGCTTTAATCTACCTACATCATAGGTAGGTGTAGGTACTCTAGGTATATTCTACCTAGACAGTAGCTGACAGTAGTAATTAATTTGTTATCCGATAAGTAGTTGTCATTATATAAGTTTAATCATCTTATACCTCCTATAACGGTAGGTTTTGGATTTTTCCTGATTGGTTTGTTAAACAAAAATATACTGGGCATATAAATGTCTGTTACAGGTTAATTCGTTAAAGAAATATGTTACACACATATTATTTTAATAATAATAGTATAATAGTAATGGCTATATTATGTTATAACACATACATATGTATTGAATGTACTTATTTTAACCAATGCATTGTTTTGTTTTTTTAATCTCACAAATAAGAAATGTTTTATAGTTTTTATTATAAAAAACAGTGATTATACAATTTATTTACACCCCTTACACTGTTTTCTGTAAGGGGTGTAACCAGGAGTATATTTCGTAACCTCTTACGATATAAGAGGGCACAAAGTGTTTTATTACTTAATGCTTAAAATTTAATAATATATTTGTACATAAAATAAAATAGACTAGAAAGTCAATTAATTAATATTGACGTAATTACTAAATAAGTACAAGATTTTTTTTCTAATTATTTTAGTGTATTTTTAGTCACCTAATTATAAAGGAGAGATATCCAACCATTGCATTATTTTACTCACAAATAAATGTTTTATGGTTTTTATTATAAAACAACGATTAATTTATTATACACCCCTTAACCCAAACACTCCAAGGAGGATATTTCGTGACCCCTTATTTAAAGTGGACAAGCTTTATTAGTCAATGTTTTAATTACCCAGCGTCTTTAATAAAAATCTAATGTAATTTTTCATAGAAATGATCTGACATAAAAAGCAAATTTTATCAAAAAACTTTTTGATTATCTACAAGGAGTAAACCGCTGACAAATGTCTGTATACTAATGCCAAAGTAATGCCAAAAATACAAATTAAATACCAAAATTTCTCATATAATGCCCCACTAATGCCAAGCTGATTCCAATATAATACCACTAATACCACGAATAATATGTAACACATTTGTTTCACGAATTAACCTGTAACAATACTGGTAGGTACGTGCACAGATTTTTTCCTAGGTAACTTAAAAGTCGTTAAAAAGTCTAATTATATTTAAAGAAGATATAATTCCAACAAATTACATTATAAGGCCAATAATGCACAAGTAATACCATTAAAATTTTAGCGTTTTTAACTTGTGTAACATATTTCTTTAACGAATTAACCTGTAACAATAGTGGTAGGTACGCGCACAGATTTTTTCGCTAGGTAACTTATTAAGTCGTTAAACAGGCCTATAAAAGCTATAACAACATAGGTAACTAATATTTATAATTTAATTCGAGTTTTAATCTCAAATAATAAATGTTTTTACTGGTGTATTTCTGAAGTGTTCATTATTAAAAGTAGATATTCTTCAAGTTATGCGAAGTAATAAGTAATGTTTCCGGTGAGACCGCGTATATGTCACCGGATTCTGGTTAGTATAAAGACTTTTTTCTATAGAAAGAGTTTTTTCTATATTTTTCTTTCAAAATAAGACTAATTTCTTCTTATTCTTTTAAATATTACAGTGTTTCTTTTTCCTAAAATGTTATACTTAATTTTCGCTTAAAATTAAAAAATCACCAAATGGAGGAAAATATACTTTATTGAATAAAGTTTATAAAAATCATTTTACCATAACAAAAAAGTAAAAACATGTCATGGCGGAAGATACTCAGGTGGCATTTCACATATTTATCTATTAAAATCGAGATTAAGATAATAAACTTGCGTAATATGTTATAAATGAGATAAAAAGTTTCAGAATCGATTAATACGCAATACGCTACGCAGTCAACTTGCTCCTCTGCGCGGATGAGCGTCTTCAGACTCCTCCATCAGCCAGGGTCACGACGCGACGCCGCACGCCTCCGAAGAGGAATCGGCCTACGTTTGGCTAAACAGGCTGGACACTGTGGACTACGATATTGGCGAGTCTGAATATTTATAAAAATTTGCAAAGTAAAATATGTTGGAAAAATAATTAATCCATACATATATAAAACCTCAAAGGTTTTTTTTGTTGCATCCATCCCGCCGAAACCGCTTCACCAATCTTGATGATTCTTTTTTTGAATGAAATGTATATATGTGTAGATTTGTTATGAAGTATTTTTATAGTGCTTAATGGCTATTTCTTTGTGTAAAACGACTAAATACTAAAACATACCTGAAAACACCTACACACAATACCTCCAGAAATAAATTATTTGTCATTGTCAGTGGTGTGTCAGTTAGATTATATTTTAAGTTTTTAGATATTTTAGGAGTGAGTTCATACCGCCAGGTTTAGATACATAAATATTAGCACAAAGGTTCGTTTAAACGCCATTAGTGAATTAGCTACACAAAGCGATTTTAGGAAATTCATCCTCTTAGAGAGTAAAATTATGTCGGAACAGTTTGCTGTATGAAAATTCCTTACTATTTGGTCTAGAAAAATGAAATCCTACAAAAATAATTAGAAGAAATTTTTGAAATTCATCAACCAAATGGGTAAAGTTAGTAAAAATTTATATAAAACTTGGTGACCTCTGGATTATACACATAAAAATTGGCACAAAGATAAAGCAAATTTATGAAATTTATACACTTAGGGAGTAGAAAAGGGAATGGAAGTTTGCTGTACGAAAATGCAATACTATAACATTACAAACCAGACAGTATAAAATTTTATACAAGGGTTTATTTAGTGACATCATAACGAAATATATCTTCCTCAATTATCCTTCAAAGAATAAAAAATAACCTATAAAGAGAGTATTAGTGCTCTTAAATAAAAAAAATATGAGAAATAAAAAACATCTATGCTCATTAGCTCTCTATAAAGAAGTAAAAAATCATTTAAATCAATGCATGAACGATTCGAGGTGTAAAGCGAACGTAGTCGCGGGAAAAAGCTAGTAATTTATTAAATTATTTTATTTAACTGATTAATATTCATTGAAAAGGAATTTTTGTAATTCGCCACTATATTAGTTAAAAACTAAGAAACTCATATCAAATTTAAGTTTTGCGATTTTGACTTATACTTTTTAGAAAATCTGAACACATTTTAAAAGAAAAAAAGCTTTTGATAATATTTGTGTAGATTGACTAAAAGTTGTATAACATAAATTTCTACGACCGGTCTACCTAGTGGTCTGCAGCATCGCCTTGTGGTGCAAACGTGGGCCTGTTAATCTGGCACAACAGCCAAGAAAAACAGAAGCGTGGCTAAGAATTTAGTAATTTAAAAAAAATGTCTTTTAGATACAGTAGGAGGTATTAAAAAGTTTTGTATTTAAATGGGGTTTGTCTTTAATAGTTAAAAAATTATATCGTAAAGTGTAACTTTCCGTAAGAATTCTTTATCTGTCATCGATCATGATCTGTCATCATGTTAACCTGATGTTTTGTATGTTATTTTGTTTTTTTGCTTGTTTGTTTTACGGATAGGTGGCGATCGCATAATTATTATTGATAATGTTTTTTTAATGTTAACATTACTACATTTTCAGTGAATCTTTAAATCTGTTGTTTTTTGTTAAGTTCGTTATTTAAACATATGTATCTAATACACTCATATTAACACTAATCATATTTTTACGTTTTTATTCATCATTTTCAATGCCCCCCCGGTTGCATCTTTGTGAAGGACTGTGAATTTTTACATTTAAAACAAATTTGCCGACTCGGTTGTATGTCCCGAAGGCGCGTTGACGAGCTACAGCTTCACTGAGGGGAAGGGTTGCTATCTTCATGTTTGTCTTGGCTACTACTTTGTCGAAGATATCGTATCTTATTTCGTCTGAGGTATGTTTTCGAGGGTCAACATAAATGGCTACAAGGAATTTTATCCCAGCAGTATTTATCTCATCAGCACAAGCAGAATGGTTTCTGAAGGTAAGCGCAGCATCTTGTAAGTCTATGTTCTTGTCCAAAGTTGTGACTAACTTCATTTTCCCTGCTGATAAAGAATGATGACGTGGTATCACATCCACTGAAAGAATGCAGGAACAGAATGTTTGATTATAAACTCTCCGAGTATTTGAAGCATCTGGAAGAGTACAAATTATTTTCTTTTGCACCCTTCCCCGGCTTCATTAGTGCAATCTTTGAGGTGGTAGTTGCTATATAATGCTGTGAGCAGGACCAACAGATCTGTATCCTCTCCATTAATAATTATTACTCTCTCTATTACTTTTACTTTAAAATCTTTTATCATCTAGCTTTTTATGGAGCGTGGTTATTATACGTGTCTTATTACGGTCGCTGGATAAGAAGTGTTCTTTTGAAGTGGGAAAACTGGTAAAAATAAATATTTTTAAGCATCAATTTTAGCTATACTACTGAACCGAATTGAACGAATTGATACTCATTCTACGTAGAATTGTTAAACGACGGAACACTAAAAAATCTTGTTTTCTCGATATGTGTTACTTGATATAAAATGCTAATTTGATGCTCTGTAACTTTTATTGTATAGTTTATTATTTAGAATGGTCTTATCCGTGTGACGAACGTTTGAATGTCACTTTAATGCGTTTATCAGCAAAATAGGTAAATATCACCATTCTTCATCTTTGGATTTCTGTCATACTACTCGACCGAATTGAATGAACTGGTACTCGCTATACGCAAAGTTTCGGAACTATAGTCAAAAATGTAAAAAAAGTCCAAGAATTTTACCATCTTTTGGTCCTCCTGAGTCGAGCGGCGGAGCAACCGTGCAAAACTAGGATATTCATCTTTCATGTCAACTAAACAAATCAAGACCATAATTAGCTTTCAAACACTTTTTTCTAATTGAACCCTCTAATTTACCTATTAGCTGATAAATGCACCTAATTTCTTACTTCGGGTTTGATAACAACTCATTCAATGTAGAGGCCAATTCCTCCTCGGTAATACTGCTAAATTCGAGACTTTTACCAAATCCCAACGATTCTGCCCTTTTGGCATTCAGCTTTTGGTCGCCAAAAATGGGAAAAGCAAGTATAGGTACTCCCATAGTGACTGTCTCGGTAGTACTTAGAAGTCCACCGTGAGTAATAAATAATTTGCAATTAGGATGAGCTGAATAAAATAAATAAACAAATATAGCAAATATATTTGATTTTTGTTTGATATACCGAGTGCGTTTCAAAAATGGCTCCCTCCTATTTTTTTTAATTTTTCAAATAAAAAAAAACGAGATTTGGTATGTTGGTATATGCCATAAATTAGGATTGATTGACGTATTCAATTATTTTTGGTCGCTTCCTGTTTCACCGAAAATGACTACAACTTTTGGTTTTTAAATGGCATCCTCGATATATTATTACTTTTTTCGATAGAAAATGACACTCTGAATCGAAGGACATATCATATGTCAACTTTTGACATATTCGCATATTGTTTATTTGAAATTTTAACTTTAATTATAAATTTGACTTTTGAAATATTTATAAATTTGACTCGAAATTCCAATTGTGTGGTATCAAATTATTCGTAAAAAAATATGCTAATGAGCCACACCCATTCAATTTGAAAAAATTGAGATATGATTCAAAATACGATTTGAGCATTTTCTAACAGGCCAGGGCAAGACACTAAAAACATTAGACGATCCAATCTATTTTTCCAAGGCTCCTTGATTACAAATTAGTGTTTTTAGCATACCCATATAACACACAATATCCGCAGGATATTCATAGAATGTCGGAATGTCCCATTATAAGATCATCTTATAAAGACATCTATAGGATATCCTCCAGACATCCTGAAATCCTGTAGAGAGAAAGACATCTATAGGATATCCTCCAGACATCCTGAAATCCTGTAGATGTCTCAGAATAGAATATCTTATGGATATCTCTGTCGTATATCTAATGTACATCCAGCTGAGATATCCCAACATGCTCATGATAATAAAATATCCTAACAATATCTACTAGATATTTAGGAAAAATAAATAATGTACTACTTTTTATGTTACATAAAATGCAATAAACCGTACAGATAGATATATATATATATATATATTACGTCAAGGCAACAAAATATCCTGTTGGTATCTTCTGGATAATTATACGATCAAACGAACTTACCTGAAGTGAAGTTCGATCGTAATTATATGAGGCGTCCAGTCCGAATGTATTATCTTGATTTTTCTATACGTAGTACCGTCCCTGCGTGCACAATTTTAAAGCTATAAGCTAAATTCCCTCCCGCTACCAGTCTGGGTGGCCGCGCCGGCCTGGCGCGGCGGTCGGTATTCATTTTCAAAGATTTATTCATTAATTCAAGCGACCATGGGGCCAAAACGGGAGGGGTGGGAAGATAATACATTCGGACTGGACGCCTCATATAATTACGATCGAACTTCACTTCAGGTAAGTCGTTTGATCGTATAATTATATTCGCGTCCAGTCCGAATGTATTATCTTGATTTTTCTATACGTAGATGTTTAAAGAACTGATGGTTGCAAATTAATGAATGCGGTGCAGAAAGCATTTTTTTTGAGACAAAAATAGCTGAAATTATAAATATGTTTATTGAATGCAACCAAAATGAAACCAATTTAACGGCCATCAATACATGGATTTATTAAATTGTGACAATTTAACATATACATATATGCATACTAAGCAGAGACAGAAACCCATAAGATGACACTTCCATAAAGGATTCTGCCAAAATTGTTCAATTATACTTTATAAACCAGTTAACTCATCGTGTCGATAGAAATCCCTGTCTCAATGTAGAACTGCGTGGATAACTCGACTATAGTGAGGTTTAACCGATATATATTTTTTTAAGGTGTTTCTAACCCATTGCTTAATATTTAAAAGGCCTTACTTTTTAAGCCATTTAGTGAGAAATTAAGATTCTCAATAATTTATTTTCCAAAATGCTTTAATTACGTCGATGAATTAAACCAGAGTCATCATATATATTAGGTTTCGATCCATACATTGGTATATGGATATTGTGGACATTGATATAAAGTAGACACAGATATTGATCTGTATCAATTTTATACCAGAAGTTTGATTATGATTACGACTATGTAAATGTTGTATAAACCGGACATAACTTGCGCAAAGACCTAATTATCACTTAAAAAAATGTATCATTTCTAACTTTCAAGAAATCTTGCAAGAGTCTTGAAATTTCTTGCATATTAAAGTCTAAAAAAAAAAAATAAATAAAAAATTAAGATTTCCGATCTAGTTCCAGAGATGATTCGATCACCAGAAAATTGGAATAGTGTTCACACCTTTATGGAGACACTAATAGATGCAAAAGAGAAAGAAGCTAGACGAAGTAACTAAAACATCGCAGTAAAACCGCCTCCTCGAAAAGTAATGCCGAAAGGCTGTTCCTCGGGAAGATATTCAAAGCGGTTTGAGGAGGTTTTTTAGTCGGTAAGGTACCTCAACCACCCCGACAGTACCACATACGGTCTCTGGTTTGCAGATTTTTCTCCACAAAAAAAAAGAGGTTTAGATACAAATTTCGTCAAAAAATTAATCATAATTTTTTAATTGTTTTGACGCTAGTGATAACAGCCTTTTTTTTAATTTCTTAAATTTAGAGCCAACCAAACAAGAATAACTATTTCAATCATCTATATTTTGTTTTCAGGCAAAATCACTGTTATTAAAACAAGTCATTTTGTATTAATAATTTATTATAAAAATATTATACATAAATTAACAGTCTATTGCCTCTTTTTCTTTGAACTCTCTTTGAGTTGTTTTTTAGCTCGCTTACATTTTCTGTATTTGCACAATTTGCCTAGCACATAAATTGAGAGAACGAAGCCACCACCAAACACTGCGACCACGTCCAAGAACCAATACTTGTAAAAAGGTAAACGAATACCCGCCACTCTTAAATGTGGTGCTCCTCCATATCTCACGACATATTTTATCCAATAATCTGCCAATTCTATAGGTTTTACCGGCCGATCTTTAAGAAGTTGTGATCTGAGTTTCGCATTTTTCTTATACCTATAAAAGAAAAATAAATAATAATAATATGCATTTTTTTTGAATTTATAATTTAATTTGGAGAAAACCTATTTCATTAAAAAGCCAGTCAAATAAGATCTATTATAGAGTTCACTTGGAAAAATGTGTTGGAAAGCTAATTATGATTTTGATTTGTTCAGTTGACATGAAGGATAATTATCCTATTTTTGCACGGTTGTTCGACCGCCGCGCCGTTCGACTCAGAAGGACCAAAAGATGGTAAAATCCTTGAACTTTTTTTCAGATTTTTGCCTATAGTTTCGAAACGTTGCGTTCTAGTCCATTAATAATTAAAGACCATTAAATTCTGCATATAATGAGTATTAATTCGTTCAATTCGGTCCAGTAGTATGACAGAAATTTAATGAACAATGTTGATATTTACCAATTTTGCTGATAAACGCATTAAAGTGACATTCGTCACACGGAAATGACCATTCTGAATAATAAATCATACAATGAAAGTTGCAGAGCATCAAATTAGCATTTTACATCAAATAATACATGCTGAGGAAATGAAAATGTTTGACACATCCACTGAAAGAATGCAGGAACAGAATGTTTGATTATAAACTCTCCGAGTATTTGAAGCATCTGGAGGAGTGCAAATTATTTTCTTTTGCACCCTTCCCCGGCTTCATTAGTGCAATCTTTGAGGTGGTAGATGTTATATAATGCTGTGAGCAGGATCAACAGATCTGTGTCCTCTCCATTAATAATTACTACTCTCTCTATTACTTTTACTTTAAAATCTTTTATCATCTAGCTTTTTATGAAGCGTGGTTATTATACGTGTCTTCTTACGGTCGTTGGATAAGAAGTGTTCTTTTGAAGTGGCAAAACTGGCAAAAATAACTATTTTTAAGCATCAATTTTAGCTATACTACTGAACCGAATTGAACGAATTGATACTCATTCTACGCAGAATTGTTGGACGACGGAACATTAAAAAATTTTGTTTTCTCGATATGTATTACTTGATATAAAATGCTAATTTGATGCTCTGTAACTTTTATTGTATGGTTTATTATTTAGAATGCTCTTATCCGTGTGACGAACGTTTGAGTGTCACTTTAATGCGTTTATCAGCAAAATAGGTAAATATCACCATTCTTCATCTTTCGATTTCTGTCATACTACTCGACCGAATTGAATGAATTGGTACTCGTTATACGCAAAGTTTCGGAACTATAGCCAAAAATGTAAAAAAAGTCCAAGAATTTAACCATCTTTTGGTCCTCCTGAATCGAGCGGCGGAGCAACCGTGCAAAACTAGGATATTCATCTTTCATGTCAACTGAACAAATCAAGACCATAATTAGCTTTTCAACACTTTTTTCTAATTGAACCCTCTAATTTGATTAGTCTATAACCTATTAGCTGATAAATGCACCTAATTTCTTACTTTGGGTTTGATAACAACTCCTTCAAAGTAGAGGCCAATTCCTCCTCGGTAATACTGCTAAATTCGAGACTTTTACCAAATCCCAACGATTCTGCCCTTTTGGCGTTGAGCTTTTGGTCGCCAAAAATGGGAAAAGCTAGTATAGGTACTCCCATAGTGACTGTCTCGGTAGTACTTAGAAGTCCACCATGAGTAATAAATAACTTGCAGTTAGGATGAGCTGAATAAAATAAATAAACAAATATAGCAAATATGTTTGATTTCTTTCTAGTATGATATACCGAGTGCGTCTTAAAAGTGGTTCACTCCTATAACTTTTTTATTTTTTCAGATAAAAAAACAGATTTGGTATGTTGGTATATGCCATAAATTAGGATTGATTGACGTATTCAATTATTTTTGGTCACTTCCTGTTTTTCCGGAAATGACTACAACTTTTGATTTTTAAATGGCATCCTCGATTATATTATTACTTTATTCGATAGAAAATGACACTCTGAATCGAATGACATATCATATGTCAACTTTTGACATTTTCGCATATAAAATTTGACTCGAAATTCCAAGTGTGTGGTATCAAATTATTCGTCAAAAATATGCTAATGAGCCACACTCGTTCCATTTGAAAAAAATGAGATATGATTAAAAATACGATTTGAGCATTTTCTAACAGGCCAGGACACTAAAACCATTAGACGATCCTATCTATTTTTCCAAGGCTCCTTAATTACAAAGTTTCTAGCATAGCCATGGCACTCTAGATTGAAATTGAAAACACAATATTTCATTAAGCGAGAATGTCAAAAGTTGACATATATGATATGTCATTCTATTCAGAATGTCATTTTCTATCGAATAAAGTAAAAAAAATACCGAGGGTGCCATTTAAAAATCAAAAGTTGTAGTAATTTCCGGAGAAACAGAAAGTGACCAATAACAATTGAATACGGCAATCAATTCTGATTTGTGTCATATACTAACGTACCAAGATGCGTTATTTTACCTAAAAAAAATAAAAAAAAATTATATGGGTGTGATACTTTTGAGACGCACCCAGTATATATCTAGTATATTTTAGCATTACGATTCTGAAGATGGCACACATTTGGATTTCCACAGAAACTTAATCCCATTTTTTATTGAATGCCATCTAAATAATCGAGTTCATTGTGGAGAATATAGCGAATAGTACAAACATTATCACACATTATACAACATCAGTTTTTTCTAGCATTATTCTACATATTTAAGGCGGATTCAACAAAGCCAAGTATAAATTCAGAATAAGCATTATCCGAACATTTTATACTTATTGAACGGAAATCTTAATAGATAATTCTAGAATTGGTTACACCTGCTTTGTAGAATCGATCCTTCTTACCATATAAAAACTCTATTATACTATTTGAAATTCTTCGACTACCAAAAGACTTGAAAAGTACAAAAAAATCATTCCCATTTATACAATTTTTTTTATTCTAATATTTTGTTTCTATAATATTATTCCTTGTTAAATCAAATAATTATGATAGTCGTCTATGTATTGTTGAGTTTTGTCTATCTGTACTTATTAATTTTTTAGTTTAATTTTTAGATATGCATAATACGTTGGTATTTTGAAATTTGAACGCGAGGCACAATTTTAGAGAGACTATAATTATTATGATGTCTTTTTAGTCATAAAAGTGTAGAAGTATTAATAGAATAAGAAATATGAGATTCATATTAGGCACTGAGATTAGGTCATCTTTAATATTTCCAGTTAACTGGAAAATTTATGCTTTGATGATATGCACTAATAGTTTTTATATAAAACCGAGCTTATATAATTTAATATAGCTTGTATAAATATTAAATTATAATTATTTCTACCTCCTTTAAGCGACAATGTATTTGTAACCAAATGTTATTTATTATCATTTGTCGAGAGAATTACTTCATTAGATAATATATTATCTAATCCCTAAAAATACATTAAACCATTAATGAATTGAGATAAGATAAAAAGTCAATTTGATCGGAAACATTGTAGAAAATAGACATAAGACAAAATCGTAGTATAAGACGTGGTATATTTTTTATTATTATAAACACCTATGTATACAATGTGTCAATTTTAAAACTTCCCACCCTTAATAACTTTCTTGCAGTTAAGATACTGAAAAATTGGAAAGACACGTCAATTTTATTTGTAAGGTTTCCCCCTTAAAATGAAAATTTTTAGCTTTTTTTTTCAACCACCTAAGAGGGGTAGATGTCACCTTTACAATCTTAAATGGGAATGGGGGTCAAGTGGCACATAATTTTAAAGGGCGTTTAATTCTCTTTTCAGTGGTATCCTACTTTATTGCTTTTAATCCAGAGGTTTCCGAATAATCGCGTTTCAAAGGTGCAGAAACAATTAAACGTGCCAGATTTTGGTTTTCAGGTTAGTGTTTACACAAAAGTTATTGCAATGGATCTCCTTGTAGTACAAATTATTAGAAGATTAGGTTACACCACTTACGCCTATCTTATAAGTTGTTCAAAATGTTGTCCATTTTCCCGTAAACAGTAATAAAGTCTGTTTTCAAACACCTCCCTAACATTTCGGAAAATTTCACCGGGAATTGACTGGCATTCTGCTGTAATTCGCCTTTTAAGATCATCAATATCAGTAGATTGTGTTTTATACACAATGGATTTAAGATATCCAAAAAAATCCTTATGGGTTTTTCGCCAAAAATAATAATAATAATAATGGATTTAAGATGTCCCACCCCCCAAAAAAAGCCTTAAGTGATCTAGAAAGCCATTCAATTGGTCCCCTTCTGCCAATCCATGTACCTGCAGATCTCTCGTTTAACCACTGTCGGACCGGAAAAAAATAATGAGCTGGAGCACCTTCCTGCTGGAATATTAACAATTCGTCCTGTGAAACTGATTAGAGGTTGCCACTCATTCGAATTTGAGAAAGGAAAAAATATTATTATGTTTATGATGTTTTCTGTTTATTAGTATTTCGAATTTCGACCCCCTAGAAAAATGTAATGGCTACGTCCATGTTGCCACCTAATCTTCTAATCATTTGTACTACAAGGAGATTCACTGCAATGATTTTTGTGTAAACACTAGCCTGAAAACCAAAATCTCAATGCAGGTTTAATTGTTTCTGCATCTTTGAAACGCGATTATTAGGAAATCTCCGAACAAAAAGCAACAAAGTAGGATACCGCTGAAAAGAGAATTAAATGTCTTTAAAACGATGTGTCACTTGACCCCCATTCCCATTTAAGATTGTAAAGGTAACATCTATCCCTCCAAAGGGGTTGTAAAGAAAAAGGCCAAAAATATTTATTTAAAGTGTCCCCCTTACTAGTAAAATTGACGTGTCTTTCCGATTTTTCATATTTTTAACTGCACTGATAAAAAAGATAGATTTGAACTAAAGTCGTCACCGTTCTTGAAAAAAAAATTAGTGGTAAGAGAATTTATTTTACCGTAAAAGAAAATATTTTGCCTGAATAAAAACTCTCTGAACTCAAGAAAACTGTTTCTCTTGAAAAATTAGAAAATTTCTCTTGAATCTATTTTCATTCAACCAAGTGCAAGTTACTTTGTTTTAAGATAATAACAAAAATACGCTAGGAAGTACTTCATTCAAGAAACATGGCCATTTTTCCAATAGCTAAATACACTTTTGATGAAAAATAATAACGACACGCAAAAACGATGACGAAGGACGGTATATACAATCAGTCGGCTGTCCGATCAGTCGTACGTCGCATTTCATAGGTCGCACATCATAGTACGCACGTGTTTTGTTGCTTGGAATTTTCCACTTGGAATTTTGCATAATTTGCTTTTTAAACGCATATCGTATAACAAATTAGTGATCGTTATTAACTTGCATTTGTCATTTTTTATGGACAAATTTTAGGACATATGGATTCTTTAAAGGAGTTTCTGAAAAAATAGAAATTAGAGCATTTATTTGCTATATTTGACGGTAAGAGACATTTACCTAATGCACCTATTTAGATAATGCATGCGTGACTATAGATAGAATAAGAATATAGGTATATCGATTTTTTTATGCAAATAATTTCAAAAATTTTAGAATTTCAAGTCATCGAAAAACAAAGCTTATAATGTTAATAATTTGTTTGCTTTACTTTGATTAATCGTGATGTAACATTTTTTTGTAATTTGTAGAGTGATGAACCACCCCAAAAAATACCAAGGAGTGAAGAAGCAGAAATAACTACTATCGAGGAAAATAATATAACTTTATTTACTACAGACCAGGAAAACATAAATTTATCAGAAAATAATATACCTCGTAATATGCCTGTATATGATGTATAGACTTCTCTTAGATCAAAATAAATTTTAGTTGAGTCAAAGGTATTCGCTATTGGTTTAAGAAAAGTATTTTTTTAATCAAGAAATGTCCCTTTTCAATCAAGAATTTTTGCATGAATCAAAGAGACTATTGTTCTTGTAGCAAGAACTTCTTTGCATATTAATTTTGGGTCAAGAGTGAAATACTTTGGACAGATAGATTCTTCTATTCTCTAAAGTAATTTTTTAAAGCTTATGAAAAGATAGTTAATGCTTTAGACCAAGAAACGTCGTTCTTGGCCCTATTGAAAAGCGCCAATCTTTTGGGTCAAAGTCATATTCATTTCGACTGAGAGATCCTTTTTTTCAGTGTGCAAGAAAGTTATTAAGGGTGGGAAGTTTTAAAATTGGCACACTGTAAGAATGCAAGAATACTTGCCTAGAATGTCTTGTTGTGGAAACCATTTTGATATCTTTACATTAGCTGGTTTATTTTCTAATTGATCTTCATCCCATTTCCATAAAACCTTTTCCTTTCTCGATCCTAATACTTTCAGTATTACATTTTTTGTTCTTATTGGCATTTGAGATGGTACTAGGTTTGAACCCATGCTAAAATAGATAATTCCTTCTTTAGCGCTATCCATAAAATCTTGCAAATCTTTGGGTAACGCCTTGGGTGGTTGAACATGGTATCCGCCTATATCGATCATGTTAGGTACGTGCGGTACTGGCTGACCTATACTCTCATGAGAGTTTAATAACACCAATGATACATTTGAGTGTATTTTTTCAAAGTCGGGTATGCCCGGAAAATATTTCTCAGCAATTTTCTTTTGTTTAGGATAAACGAGATAATACAAATTTAACTGAGCTACCATACCGAAAATCAGGTTGTAGGCGCGTTCAGTAAAGGCCATTTCTTCGGATGATGTACTTAAGAAAAGATCAGGTACGTAGCTAGCTGGTTCAGGATTAGCAACTAAGTTATTAACCCATCGATTAGCTCCTAGGGTGCTGAATACTATTAAGGGAGCATTAAAATGATGGCCAAGTGCGGTAAGAGCATCCGACATAAATTGTTCCATTATCACTGCATCAAACTTTTCATTCGAATGCAACAGCTTTTGAGTATCAGGATGTTCGAGTACACGTTCAGTCATCATAGCACCAATGCCATTTAAAAAAAAGATTTGGAAAAATGGAGAAATATCTGCCATTTCAAACATGTTTCTGGGTTGTTCTGAAAAAGAAATATTAAGATTATTAAAATATACCAAACATGATAATAGATGCCATTCTAGGACACAACGCAGACATATAATGTATACCTTTAAAAACTTAATCAGAAAGAGAGAGAGCATCCTAGAGAATGTTCTCTCATAGAAGATGATCTCTCACACTCCCCTATTTCTATTTCTGTTCGGGCATGCGCAGTGGAAGATCTCATGCCTGACTGCAACTATATAAATGAGACTTTAATAATACCGTTGATTGAATAAATAAGATGCGCAACTTTATAGCCCAGGAGGCAGTTAAATTTTTTTGTTTTTATTTTCCCAACGGGTGAATATATTGATAGGGGGATTGAATAGCGAATCTCGAGAGATTTTTAACAAAATCAAATATTTATCGAAAGAGTTTCAGCCTCGAACGCAAATTATTCAAAATGAATTTGGAAACACTACAACGGAGCCTCTGGAGATTTTTGAAGTCTGGAAGAAATACTGCTTAGGGCTGTTTGGCGAAACCGCCAGCAATTCCGACAATAGGGTTGACCTTGGAGATGTAATCAAATAACCTGCCATACTAAGAACAGAAGTCCAAAGAGCTATAACTAGACTTAAGAACAACAAGGCACCGAGAGTTGACGGTATTACCGCTGAGGTACTTAAGGCAATGGGAGAAGCAGGAATAGACCTAATACATTTGCTATGCAAACAAATTTGGGATACCGGCAAGTGGCCCGATGAATGATGCAATTCCATCTTCATACCGATCTTTAAGAAAGGATCATCACTAGACTGTATATAGCAATTACAGAACAATGGCCCTGATTCCCCATGCCAGTAAAATATTCTTAACCATCATCAACGAGCGTCTTGAAAAAAAACCAAACCAAACCTCCCGCAGATATCAGATGAACAAAGAGGCTTTATCCCTAGAAAAGGCACTAGAGAACAGATCTTAAATCTTCGACAGATTATAGAAAAAGCCAGAGAATACAACATCGAGATGTACCTGTGCTTCGTGGACTACTCCAAGGCGTTTGATAAGGCAAAATGGAATAAACTTTGGACTATCTTTCTAGAAATGGGCACTCCACCTCACCTGATTGATTTGGTCAAACAGCTCTATGAGAACAACAGTGCTAAGATCAGAGCTAATAACACGTTATCGAGTGGTTTAAAGAGTAACGCAGGTGTGAGACAGGGATGTGTACTCTCGCCAATCCTGTTTAATATCTACAGTGTCATGCGTCGAGTAATAGAAGAGTGGAACGGTGGAATATCCGTGGGGGGCAGGAGGATAAATAACCTGAGATACGCGGATGATTATAGCCGTGATTATAGCCGCCAGCAAAGAAGAGTTGCAGAAAGTCATGACTGCACTGTGCTCTATTAGTGCAAAATATGGCTTGGAACTAAACAAACGGAAAACCAAGACGATGATTGTTGACCGCCTCCGCAATAACCAACCTGATGTCCGAACCGTGGCTGGATACGAGGTTGTAAGCCAGTTCAACTATTTAGGTTCCATGATAGCAAACTCTGGAGGATGCGAGGCTGAAATCAGGCGCAGAGTGGCAATAGCGAGGAATGCGACAACAAAGCTCACTAAGATATGGAAGACTTCAGCAATCACACGAAGAACTAAACTGCCCATTGCGAACTCCCTCATATTCCCCATAGCTATGTATGGCTCCGAAACATGGACACTAATGGAGAGTGATAAGCAAAGAATAAATGCCTTGGAGATGTGGGTGTATCGACGGCTGCTCTGCGAATACCATGGACGACTCATCGAACAAACATTTCCATTATAGAGGAACTAAAAATTGAGACACGTCTGGTTACCAGATTAAATCAGTCAATCCTCCGATATTTTGGCCATATTGCCAGGAGTGGCACCTCAATTGAGAGAGTGATGGTGGAGGGGAAGGTAGAGGGAAGACGATCACGTGGAAGGTCACCTAAGAGGTGGGTAGACCAAGTCAAAACCCTAGTGGGCCACAACCTCCCTGAAGCTTCACATATGGCGCAGTGTCAAACAACTTAGTCCGAGGAAGTAAGGGGAATCAACACATGATGTCACCATACTCTCACGTAGAATGAAGACCGAAGAGAGAATATATTGATTTGGTCATCGAAACTCCGCGGTCTGGATTTTAACGTGTAAGATAGTGATGTAGACAGCTTAATGGAAAATCAAATGCATTAAAACGAGATAAAAATTGGGTTGATACATTTCTTCTATGCGGTATTGCCGGATTTTGCATCAAAATTTCAAACCGTACAAGTAGAAGTTTACGAAAAATGTTGCATCTAGGATTGGAACTTTATTTTTCACTATTACTTACTCATTTTACTACAGCTGTCATAGATTATATTTATTTGAGATTTTTTTTCTTCATTTCAGTAGTATACTCGTACATGAAAATTTTTAAAATTACGTAGATTTTTCTACATACATTTTCCTACAAACGTAAAAAACCGGCAACACTCTATGCCGCTTGTAATTTTGTCTCTCTATCTGTCAACCGGTCATTTATATTATTCTCTATCATACGCATTAAAATCCAGACAACATAGTTTGGGTTAGTTTGTTTACAACAGTGTATAATAGTTAGTTCAGATGGTGACATTAAATGACAATTTGTGAGTCTGGCTAAAATTTTCGGATATGCTTACTAAATGAAATAAAAAAAGTCCACTTATTTTTCCAGTCATGAATATTGGAAATGTATTAATGTGAATCATTTTTGTTACATTAATTATTATTCTACGCCTTTTACGGACGATATTATATTGTTTACTTTTATAAAATTGTGCGGCGAGTATAAATTCGCTGATACGGGCGTTACGCCATGCAGGCAGCTGGCCGCTGCGCTGATGTGCTGACGAAGAGTATTTTTGTTAGGATTATTCTTAAGTTAAAATTTGTAAGCAGTCTCTCGACTAACGTACAGAAATAAACAGTTTGTTAAATAATTCTGATTTTATTTAAATATAATATAATAATTCAGAAGTGGGATTCATAAGAAACCTAAAAGTTATTTAATAATAGTTTTCCTATTATACAGAGTCTCCTAAAAATATTTTTTTTATTATTATTATTTTTTTACTCTTAAAATTGGAGACAGTGACAGTGAAAATAGTAGTGCCGAATACAAACGAGCGTGGGCAGAAATTGGACTTAAAAAAAAGAAAAAACTTTGGCAAATCGAATCATCGGAACCTAACACGGACAGTAACTCGAAAAGTGAAATGCAACAAACATCAAACTAAAAAAACGTGTGCATCATAAAAAGTTGGATGACATTGTTAATCAAAAAGTCAGTGAAATTTTGAATATACTTCATGTGCTACAGGGTGGCCCAAGTACTTACGAAAATATGAACTGCTATCAAAAACGACAAAGTGCCTACTTTTGACCCGGATAAAGGAACTATAAAAGTCCGGAACAACTATTTCAAGAATTTTTGAGTAAATTAAAATCCAAAAATATTACCAAAAAAAAACATGCACCCAAAATTATCACGGAAGTTTGTCATATCTGTGAAAAAAGGACACATGGCTGAGATGCTGGTTTCGCCGCTCAACGGATGATCAACCTCCACCTTATCAGTCAGCGCCCAACGACCAGTTTCCAACCTCCTGTCAATCAGCACCACTACACAAAAAATGCAGCAACTGTGGAAAACAGGGACATCTTCGAGACGACTGCTGGTTTTTAAAATCGGCCACGGTGAAGACCTTAAAAAGGCAAGTACAAAATGATATTTATACTATTTTTTCTAAAAATAAATAATGTTTTGTGCAAAGGGTATTTGGACACAGGTAGCCAAATAAACGTTGCGCACGCAAGCATAATAGACAAGTTAAAATTAATAAATCAACCACTTACGTAACTGGATTTGGTAATAATATTATTTATCCATTGAGCCAAGCATTAGTATCATTATGTTTTGAAATTTTTTCTATTGAAAGTATTGTTCATTTTGTAGATAGAGACATGGGCTTAATAGATATAATAACTGGTCAACCAGTTACAAATAGCGATAATCTTGAAAATAATAGGAAACAAAGTACAACTGACAAAAATCGATAACATAAATACTATGAAAAATTTTAATTTTAATGAGAAAAGTAAAAAAGTTTGATATTAGAATAATAGATATGTACAGATTTCACCTAATAAAAATATATAAGATATTAGAATAATAGGAAATTTACAGATTTCACCTAATAGCACAATAAATGTAAGAGTAAATAGTAACTGTGACAATAACTTAATAATTCCCGCCAAAATGTGTCATAACTATACAATTCCAACTGTTCTAGCTAATAAATCTGTATTTATGATGTATGTCACTAATATAGGCACCGAAACGTTGAAACTGAAAAATAACCAAGTACTGACAAGGGGATATAAATTTTTAAAAGACCTCCAAAATTATGATAAACCAGCAAAGGAAATTTCTAGGATAGAAATATCTGAAATAAATGTCGGGAATATTTTTATATTTTTGTTGCAAAAAAAAAACAACTCTATGTTTTATACGATATATGTTTTATACGATTTATTAAATAAATTTAGGACTTGTTTTGCAAAGTCAACTAGTGAGTTAGGTGTGACGGATTTTATAGAGTTTGAAATAAATTTATCTTCCTGTGAACTCATCTTTTACAAACCTTACCGGGTGTCACAAAAAAAGGAAAAAGAAATAATACGCGAAAAATTTAATTACCGACTTATTGTCTAATAATATTATCAGGGAATCAAATTCTTAATATTCTTGTTCTATTTTAATTAAAAAGAAAACTGTGGATTACAGGCTGGCAATTGACTATAGAAAACTTAACAAAATAACTGTCAAGGACAGAATGCCACTGCCAAATATTGAAGATCACATTTCGCGTTTCAAGGGATTTAAATATTTTTGTGTACTGGACATGACGCAGGGTTATTATCAGATACCGATGTCATCTAATTCAATTCAGAAAACCGCTTTCGTTACGACCCATGGTCAGTACGAATTTTTAAGGATGCCATTTGGTGTCTGTAATATTCTGGTGTAATTTGGTGTCTATATGCCCCTGCGGTATTTCAAAGACTTCTAAATAGGGTACTTGGAAATTTAAGACATGATAGGGTAGTGAACTACCTAGATGACGTTTTATTATTATCGCACTGAAGAAGGTCTGGAAATACTTGAAACGGTGTTAAAAGTTTTTAAAAAAAATGCAAACCTTAAACTAAACTTAAAAAATGTACATTTTTTGAGACAACTATCGATTATTTAGGTTATGAAATTAATAAATTTGGTATAAAACCGGGCGAACAAATTAAAAAGGCTATTAACTTCAGTGGTGGCAAGCAATAAAAGATCAAATATATATATTCTCTTTTAGTAAACAAAATATGGCCATTAACTACTGGTCTACTAATAAAAAAAAGTATAGTAGATTTTAAAATGGGTTCTTACATTAGTTCTTATGAACAAAATTGATGCCTGTTGAAAAGTAAATAAATATACAGCTCACTTTAGTATACCAGTGTAGGTTTCAGTTAACGAAAATTAATATATTGAAACGTTTACGACGGTAGCTCGTAATTCATCATTTAAACTTCTTTTAAAAAATTAAAGAGCATAATTTGCTATTGTATTAGAAAACTGTAAAAACAATTTTCTTAAATTGATTTTCAAAAAGGAAATTTTATATTCGACTTACTGAAGGAGTCATGGCTTAACAAAAATGAGGTCTATAAAATTAAATAAATCTCTATACTGTTTAAAACTGCAAAAATAAACACTACACAAACTGTCGCCAAGATATTGGTTTAAGTGTTTTTTGATGAAGTGTTAAAACAACATGACTTCTAGAGCCTTAAGAGAGACCGCTCTAAATAAATTTCTTAGATAAGGATTTATCAGTAAAAATATCTGTTATAGCTAGTTTAAAAAACTCAGTAAATTATGATATTTATGATCATAGAAAATTCTGATGATCTCTTGATTATTACGCAAGATAAATAATTAAGTCATGAGAAATATTTGATGAATCAATTTAAGTGCATAAAAAAATATAGGCATAATAAGAATAAAACTATTTATAGATGTTAAAATTTGAGTAAGATAAAACTCAAATTATCTTAGATCAAAGTTTATATAAAAAAGTAAAGTAATGAGTTATTTTTTATTCGATTATAGAATCGTTACTGTTACTCATCTGCCTAATAAATTAGATTTCACTGTTTTAAATTAATCTGAAACTATTTGGTGAAAAGCCGAGTTTTTGTTAAAATTTAAAAGATCTACTTACTACTCGCTCTTCGTTAACCATATATGATAGTAATTTAGAAACTGAGCTGCATACTGACTCAAGTAGTAAGGGTCTAGCAGAAATTTTGATGCAAAAATATACAAACTGGCTAAAACCAGTAATGTATTAGATGTAGGGCTTTATCTAGAGATGGTGGTTGTAAATACAAGATTTTGATTTCGAAATTGAACCCAGACCCGGGAGTAAAATGTCTCATGTTTAGTAGGAATGGGAAAAATTTTGACATTCTTAAAATAAATATCGAAGATTGGATAATATGTAGTATTCAAATCGCAAGATGATGAATAAATGTCAATAAAAAAATACTTAACAAGAAAATCCCGATAAAGAACTATAAAATATTACAAAAATGACCGACTTTTCCGGAAAACTTTAGATGGAAAACTTAAACAACTTGTTATTCCTAAATGTGCTAGGTTTTGTTTAATGCTGAGGTTCTATGATAAAATAAGGCACAACGGCCTTAACAAATGCGACCAATTAAAGACATTTTGGTTTGAGGGAATGACAAAATTTGTCAAAAGTAGGTACGTTAATTCAAGTTTAGATTGTGCATTCAAAAAGACAAAATATGGTAAAAAAAAACAAGGTTATTTATTTCCTATAGAAAAACCTACCGAACCCTTGCATACATGGAATATTGATTATTTAAGGCCATTTTGCAAGAGCTCTGGGTTTTCTTATATATTTGTTATTGTGGATTCTTTTACAAAATACCTTCTCGCCCGACCCATTAAACTACAAATTCGAAAAAAAGTTATTTACAATTTAAAAGACTTGTTCAGCATATTTGGTGTACCGAATGAAATTATTTCAGATCAAGGAAAAGCATTTTAAATGTAAAAAAATTCCATCATTTTTGTCTTGATTATAAAACTAAAAATATTATAAACACGGTATCGTCACCCAGGTCAAAAAAAACAGGTAGAACGGACAAAATCGCACATTGTTAAGTGCTATTAAAACTAGTTGACAATGAATGCGACTGGTGGAAAAAACTACCACAAGTAGTTTTGGGCATTAATACTATAAAAGTAGTAGTATAGTAATAAAAGTAGTAGTACAGTAGTAAAAGTAGTAGTATAGTAGTAGTAGTATAGTAGATATAGTAATAGTACTAAACTAAGCCCACATTAATGTTTGGAATTGACAAGAATTTAATTGGTGACTGGTGATGATACTGTGAAAAAGATAAATAAAAAGCGTACAAAAATATTGCTACAAGTTCCATGAATAATCAAAGTGAAAGAAATGAAAGGGTATTTTTGATAAAAAAGAAAAGAATCAAATGAGAGATTTGGTTTTGTGGTCTAGGGCAAGCACTGAGACTAAAGGCCTGTTAGAAGGCAATAAGGACCTGTTAGAAGGTAGTAGGCCTGTTAGAAGGCAATAAGGACCTGTTAGAAGGTAATAAAGGCCTGTTAGAAGGCAATAAGGACCTGTTAGAAGGTAATAAAGGCCTTTAGGGAGGCAATAAGGACCTGTTAGAAGGTAAAAAAACCTTGTTAGAAGGTAATTAAGGCCTGTTAGAAGGCAAAAGAAAAATTAGTTGAAAATTATAAAAATGAATAAAATGGCCTGTTAGAAGGTAAATGAGGTTAATTTGTGATAATTGATTATAGTTGTTATAAATTAACTTCTTTGTTATAATTAATTGTTCAACTCATAAAAAATAATAAAAAATGGCCTGCTAGAAGGTAAAATAAAAAGCAAGTAAAATATTTTGTTGACTCGTTAGAGAGCAATAAAAAATATATAAAAAAATGCTTTGTTTATACCAAATATTTCTTCTCGTTTTGTTTTATTTTTCAGGAGGGGTGCCAGAGAAGATATCAGCCAAAAAAAAAGCAGCCAAACAAGCCCGGATATCGAGTGAGGACACTCTCTAAGCAGGATGGCCGAGTGTTACATTAATTATTATTCTACGCCTTTTACGGACGATATTATATTGTTTACTTTTATAAAATTGTGCGGCGAGTATAAATTCGCTGATACGGGCGTTACGCCATGCAGGCAGCTGGCCGCTGCGCTGATGTGCTGACGAAGAGTATTTTTGTTAGGATTATTCTTAAGTTAAAATTTGTAAGCAGTCTCTCGACTAACGTACAGAAATAAACAGTTTGTTAAATAATTCTGATTTTATTTAAATATAATATAATAATTTATTAATGGACATAATTGTATGGCACATCCCAAGTGGAGGAAAGTCAGTCTGGCTGAAAATTTGCGAATGAAAAATATTTACAGATTTTTGACAACCTCAACCCTTATTTTCCCATGCTTGAAATTTAACGTATCATTTGAGACTATCATAAACTATAATCAAAAGCAAGTGTGGCTGATTTACGAAACTGGCAAATGAATTTGGCGGTATCTTGAATATGGCAAAAATTGCAAAATTTTTGCTCTTATTTACCCGGATTTGAAAAATTGCCACATGATAAATAATACTATAATTTTATAGAAAATACACGTCTGGCTGTCATTTACAATCACGAAAGCCCTGCCAGACTTACAAGTCAGGGTGTACATTTCGTATCGGTCGTTTTTATAGATACGAACATTTATGACACTCTGTAAGTTCGTGATATTCAATATAGCAAAATCGAGAAACATTACTCTTATTTCAAAAATTGCTGTAGATCCAAACACAGTCATATGATGGGAAGTTTAGAACCAGTCACTTTGACGAGATTTTTTATTACTATAAATTAAAAACTAAGGGAGATACAAAATAAACTCGATAGACCGATTTTGTGGGGAATTAAATTTCCTACAAAAAATATTTGACATTTATTAATAATAATTTTTTAATTTTTATAATTTAATATTAATTTTTATAATATTTTATTATGTCACTGATAATTACAAAGTTATTGGCGAAAAAAGTTCTTTAATAACAACCGGACGGACTTAAACCTTATTTTTTGGATTCCTGGGACCAAAACGTTGAAAAAAGTGTTTTTGGTCATAGTCAAATTTCGCCCTAAACCAATAGTTTTCTTACCATAGATTATAAAAAGTAAAAACAACGAGCCTGGCAAGGCTTTCGGGATGTTCCACATGAGCCAGATATTACAGCAGATTTGCAGCTGTAATTATAATATAAACTATCATCTGACAAATTTTTAGGATTGGGAAAAGAAGGACAAAGGTTTCAATAGTTTTTATCTAATTTTACACCTGCCAGACATATTAACCATTCTCACAAATTAGCCAGGCTATTTTTTTTCTTAACTGAACAACATCTCTCACTAATAGAACAATTTTTATCGCTGGAAAAAAAGTGCAGTATATTTGTACTTTATAAATGTAACTGAATTGAAAATTGTAACTGTTTTAGATGATATTATAAACTTTATAGTAATATGATATAGTTCAGTGGCCGTATGTTTGTTCTCCAATGATTTAGAAAAACACCACTAAGTATAGACAACATCTAAAATAATATATATGTATATTTTTTGCGACATTTTTAAAAATACTGCTTGAATATAGTGAAATGCCATCAAATTACTAACAAAAGTATTTGTCATAATTTGTCTTACGCATCACAAAATGTTTTATTAGTCTCGACATTAATTGTCAATAAATAAAATTAATTTAATACTTACCATCTCTTACTTCACCAAGTTCCTTCAGCACTATTTGTTTTAGAGTTTTAGGTGGGTTTGGTTCAGAAAATGCAGCAATAAAAGTAACGTCATGTCCCAAGTTTGCCAAACCTTTACTTAAACTATTTCCTAATATATAATGACTCCTTGCGGGTACGGGAAATACTATTAGTAGTTTTAAACCGTAGACACTGTTTAAAATTACTGAATATAATAACAGTGCAGCTAGTTTCATGATTAACGTTAAGTAGGTTCAGACTAAACCAAAATAATAAACATGTGTATACGTCTAGTCGCCTATATATTTGTGTTGATCTTCAAAAATTATCAGCGATGCAGCGTAGCGCGATTCTTTTTGTAAACTGAAACAGGCGACTCATCACCGAGGTCACGAACACTGTTTATAACGGGTAAGGAACAATTAACAAACCTACTATTAATAATCTGATGTCAGCTACTATCCGGTGTTTCTAATATTTCACAATATTTTTTGGCATGGATTTATACAGTAGAATATACAGGGCTCAAGTTTCGTTTAGCCGAAATCAGTTACATAGAATATCGGTTTATCGGATGATTCTATACGAGAAAACTAGCACTACATAATTTGATTTTTGCCGCGAAAATTCTTTGTTTGTGAGAAAACTCCAATTTTTAATTTTTCTATTATTAACTAATATTTAAAATTTTACGGTGTTTTTTTTTCATTATAGAATGACGTAAAACATTTAATATAACGATGTGAACTAATTTTTATTCGAAAATATATGTTTTGTGTATGTATCTCAATAATTTTTTATTGATTTTTCCTGGTTTAAAAGTGCCAAAATGTGATAGGAAGAAAAAACTACATATTTTTGTGATTTTGCTATAATTTTTCTATATGAATTTTTCCGCGGAAATTTATCATACGGCCGGTGTAATGAAAAATCTTCAATATTTTGAAGTTTTCCATAGTATTCTCAACTTTTTTAAATACTTTCGGTTTGGTTTTAGTTTATTTGGTTTGGTTGTTTTTTAGGGTTTGGTTTGGTTTTGTTGTCGTGTTTATGCTTTATTGAAAATTTTTTTTAAATTTTCGAATTTATTGACCGTAGCGATCTTAAGTTGATAAGAATAGATATTAATTATTGATCTGTCAAAGGTCGGGAAGAAGATCACTGCATAGTGGTGAAACAATGTATTTCCGCGGATTTTCATTTTTGTATTGGTGCTTAAAAATAAGTCTACAATATAAAATATCTAATATTAATTTTTTATATATCTCATTTAGTTATTTCTAAACCGTATTCAATATATGGCAACAGCGCATTTCCGCGGAATTTAACTTTCGTATTAGTAGTAACAAAGACGTCTAAAATATGAAATAACATTAATTTTTCATGTATATCATTTCGTTACTTTTAAATCGCATTAAAAAATGGAGACACATTTCCGCGGCAAATTTTTTTCATTAATATTACTCCCTGAGGTACCTAAATGACAAAAATTTTCTTTTTTTCTTTTTTAACAGATTTCGGCTAAATGAAACTTGACCCATATACAGGGTGATTCACGGCCCTGGTACGTTACACGTTTATGGGGAACCGGTAATAGTTTTTTAATTTGTATTTTTGCATAAAGACACCAGGGTGCTCAAAAAATCACTATAATGATGACCATGATGACCAGGTGACCATGTGGACCAAGAGCGTCAGACAAAAATTGTCCCATTATCACATCATCGAACTTTTCATTCGAATGCAACAGATTTTGAGCTTCAGGATGTTTGAGGAAATAATCAATTATTATGCTACTAACAGCATTTAAAAAAAATGGAAAAATGGGAAAATATCTACCATTTCAAACATGCTTGTGGGTCGCTCTGAACAACAAAAGATTTGGAATAATTTATTAAAATATACCATTTAATATCATTTTGTTTTCAAACTCATTTTGTTTTCAAACTAACATGATAATATACTGGGTGATCTCAAAATTGGCTCGCCCCTATAACTTTTTTTTTATTTTAAATTGCATGCGGTGACTTTCTGTTTCACGGGAAATAACTATATCTTTTGATTTTTAAATGGCGCCCTCCGTATTTTTTTACTTTTTTTGATAGAAAATGACACTCAAATGAATAGAATGACATATCATATAATATGTCAACTTTTGACATATTCGATTAGAAAAATTGCATTTCAAATTCCAATCTAGTGTGCCATGACTGTGTTAAAAACACTAATTTTTAATCAAGAAGCTTTGGAGAAATATATTTTATCCTCTAATGTTTTTCGTGTCTTGTCCTGACCGGTTAAAAGATACCCAAATCGTATTTTTAATCATTTATTATCTTTTTTTTCAAATGGAACGAGGGCTGCTCGCGGCTTATTAGCATGTTATATTATGGAAAAAGATTTTTTTACCAATAATTTGGTACCACCTATTTGGTATTTCGAGTCAAATTGTCGTTACATTTACAGGTATGGAACTCTAAATTAAATTCTAAAATGCCAATATTTGTTTAATTGTAAATATCAAAAGTTCATATATGCTATGGCATTCTATTCAGAATGTAACTTTCTATCAAAGGAAGTAAAAAAATACCAAGGGTGTCATTTAAAAATCAAAAGTTATAGTCATTTCCGGTGAAACAGAAAACGTAATTTTATTAATTTGCTTTGATCCAAGTCTAATGGTAACTTTTAAGAAATATTAATATTATTAACTTGCGAAAGTTTCAAATAAGTACTCATTGATTCCTCATCAAAAATATGATAAAGAAGTTCCTATAAACATGGTTATGAAAATAAGTGGTTTTAAAATTACAGGATGTTAAAACTTTTTAAAATTAGGTCTTTTGTAACTTTCTTAAATTCCATTATTTTTATTTGCATTTTCTGTAGGCTGGACTAACAGTAATAATAATTCATAATAATAATATTTAATAATAAATGAGATAAAATAAATAAACTATTAATTTTATTTTTATTTTTATTTTATTAGTCGTAATTTATAAAATTGCATTTATCTCATCAAAGAGATTGAAATCAACAAAATAACAACATACAACAAGATACAACTTTTATTTGGCAATTAAACGGCCTATAGTTTTTTCATATCAAAATAAAAAAGTTAGTGGCGCACATGTATTTTTGTTCAAAAAATATTCCAATGATAACCCATACGCACGTCCCAGATGAATCTATCGACACTTTTTTAGCATGAAAATATATAGTACAAGAACGTTTACCCTCTCAATTTCATTCGAATCGCTAAAAGCACTTATAATAATATAAAATATAACAAATCGGATAAGAGTCTCCCCACGAGAGATGGCACATGTTTTTTTGAAACACCCCGTAAATTATTTTGACATGGTATCAATTACTGATTGTTACTTAGTTCCATAGAAATCTGTAATCGACAAAAAATATATCTCAAGAGATATCTAAGCAATATTTCACAACATTAAGTAGTTTAGCAACAGAAGATATTTGTGTGGTTTTAAAAATGCAAAAAATTATTTGCGAAATATTTGTTTAGTTACAAATTTAGTCATAAAATTAATCATATGATTTAATTTTTGATTTATTTTGGCGCTAGTGATAACATCCGCTATTTATTACTCAAATTTTTTAAATTTATTGCCATTTTATTGCCAACCAACGAGCAAAATCAGAATAACTATTTCAATCATTATTAATCGTTTCGTATTTTTCTTTCACGCAAAATTACTGTTATTAAAACGTCATTTTGAATTAATATAAGTAATTTATTATAAATAATCTAATACATAAATTAACAGTCTATTGTCTCTTTTTCTTTGAACTCTCTTTCAGTTGTTTTTTAGCTTGCTTACATTTTCTGTATTTGCACAATTTGACTAGCACATAAATTGAGAGAGCGAAGCCACCACCAAATACTGCCACTACATCGAAGAACCAATACTTGTAAAAAGGTAAACGAATACCCGCCACTCTTAAATGCGGTGCTCCTGTATATCTCACGACATATTTTATCCAATAATCCGCCAATTCTATAGGTTTTACCGGTCGATCTTTAAGAAGTTGTGACCTGAGTTTCGCATTTTTCTTATATCTATAAAAGAAAAATAAATAATAATATGTAGGTTACTTTATTAATGATAAACTTCTTAGAAATTTGTATTATCTTGTATTGCACATTTGTGTCACATTTATGCTACGATATCCCGAAAGCTGTTACATTAGAAGAAATATTCCGTCAACTGGACTGGACCAACAAAGGATTAAAAATATATGGAGAATAAATAAATAAATGCCTTTATTGTCAAAAAATTTTTCAATTTGTAGACAAAGGTAAACTAACAAACAAAGTAAAAAAACAAGGTATACAAACAAACAAACAAAAGATAATACAAAACATTATACAAATAATATTGTCAGTCTTATTGTTAAAATAAACATTTATACATGTTTACAATGTCAAAGAACAAAAAAATAAAAATAATATTCCAAAATGTTTAGCTAGTTTATAGCAAAATATCAATGACAATAGCAAACATTAGACCAGTGTTTACAAGATCAAATTCGATTTTCAAAATATAATTCATTTACGGCGTAGAAAGCCTTGTCTAGTAAATAAGAGTTCAATGCTTTGCGAAATGAAAAAAATTATGTTATGGATTTGATTTCAAATGGCAGGTGATTGTGCATTTCTTTCGAGTTGTATAATATTGATCTTTTAACTAACTCTGAGCGTGGGGTAGGTAGATAAAGATCTTGCTCCGCGTTCCTGAGTGTATAAGTGTGAGATGGCCTTTCTTGAGAAGCTGATACATGTTTACGTATTAGGCAAACGGATTCAAATATAAATAAGGAAGGAAGAGTCAATATTTTTAATTGTTTAAAAAAGTCCCAGCAATGAGTTCTGCTGTTTAGTCCCAGTGAATATCGAACAGCTCTCTTCTGGAGCCTGAAAATGCGGTCAAATTGAGTCGCACAACACGTACCCCAGAATGGAAGGGCGTACCTGAGGTGCGACTCAAAAAGTGCATAATAAACAGTTCTAGCCACTGACAAGTTAAGCTCCTTAGAAACAGACCTTAATGCAAAACAGGCAGAGCTCAATTTTTTCGACAAAGCTTCGATATGAATGTCCCATTTCAGAGAATTGTCCACAACAAGCCCTAAGAATTTTACAGATTTTACGACGTCAATGGTGTTGTTAAGTACAAAAGGCTGCAACAAGTTTTTATACGACAAAGCTTTAGTTTTAGAAATGTTGAGACTCAGGAGGTTCGAATCGCACCAAGATTTAATGGTGATTAAGTCATTTGATATAATCTTATGAAGTGCCGTGATATCCTTGTTGCTCCAAGTGAAGCTAGTGTCGTCCGCAAAAAGACATATTTTGCCACTGATATTTATGTTAGCAATGTCGTTAATAAAAAGAAGAAACAAAATAGGGCCTAGTACTGAGCCTTGTGGTACTCC